GTATTTATAGATATACTGATTAAAACAAATTAAGTGTAAGGAGTTGGGCTTGGGGGGCTTGTACTTTGTGCTTTAATAGTTTGATGACTTTTCGATATTATTTAAAATATTTGGGCCAAAAACAAAATTGTGGACTTAGCCCATGAACTCCCAAAACAGGTTTGTATCTGCAAGGCCCGTTTAAGCTGTGAATTAATATTATTAATTAATAAATAAATATATTCACGAACAAAAATACCAGAAAATATTAAATTTATTATATAATTAACATTTTATATGAATTTAGTTTAATAGTATATACTTTTTTTTATTATTTTTTAATTATTGTATAGATAATAAGTTCACATTCAAATATATTAGTTAATTAATATGATTGAAGTATTGCGGTATAAAGTAAAAGGAATTGAAGTGAAGTGCATTTGACACACTCAAATTCAATGTACATTAATATGCTCATAATCTTGGATAACACGTGTCCAAACTCCAATGCTTTTGAATTCTAATAGAGTAGTATTTTTTCCAAAGTGCAGTGAACCCATTGATTTTCTTTTACATGCACGCACAACAACCAATTGATTTTCTTTTACATTGACATATTTGATACGCTCCTTCGAGTTTTGAACGATATTTCTATGCTGCATTCAGTGAATAATATATCGGACATTTTTTTACCCATTAATCCACATACTTCAATGTGTGTGTGTGTTTTCGTATGTATAAGAACAGTGAAAATCTATTCGATATATTTCACCCAATGTAATATAGAATAAAGTCAGGCCCGGCCCTAGGCTATAGGCAACTTTGGCCTATGCCTAGGGCCCCCAACTTATAAGTATTGTAGTTGAGGCCCCAAAAATTAATGTTTACTATAATTAGGGCCCCAAAATATAAAATAAAATTTATATTTTTCTTATTTAAAAAAATATTAATATATATATATATATATATATATATATATATATATATATATATATATATATATATATATATATATATATATATAGCCAGATTTTTGTATAAAAAAAAATATACATATATATATTTATTTATATATATATATATACTAAAATAAAAATATCCAATATATCTATTTTTATATAAAAAAATATGTGTAGAGGGCCCCATATATATTATTTTGCCTAGGGCCCCATATGGGCGTGAGCCGATCCTGAATAAAGTCATAAATTATTTTCAGAGGAGTTTATTACATGTTACCACGCACAAAATAAAA